TCCACCTCACCACCACCAACCAGGGAGCTTCAGCTGCTGGCCCTGGCTTCAGTCTCAAGTTCTGAGGTCAGATTGACTGACCTTGGCCAGCTAGATTGGTGACAGGCAGACCTGAATCAGGGCAACTTTTTTTTTTTTTTTTTTATGTTGTTTTGGGGTGGGTTGAAAATTTGTAGAATTAAATCACATTTTTCCTTCTGGAAAGGAGTTTTCAGAGTTGTCTAACTTGCCTCGTGAAAAAGGGTGAGCATCTGGAGGTGCCAGAGTAGATGGCCCACCCCTCCACGTAGTGAGGCCCGTTCTGGAGCGAGCTGGAGTTGTCTGCTTGTCAGTCTGGGAGGCTGGTGGCTTGCGTGTGATGCGTGAGGCAGCCTGCATCTCGCTGGAGTAACTCAGCCTTTGGCTCTCAGAGCCAGGTGTGGGGCAACTTTAGCCACAGTTGTTAGATGTTTTAAGTAGTAAACTATTCTTGGAGGAAGCTTTTGTATGTCTTCTTTTCCCCCATCATGCTGGCTCCCAGTTGGGCCCTAAGTGCTTGTGACTGTTTGGGGCCCCTACCTCTGTCCACGCTGATCCTTAGCCTCTCCACAATGAAGCCTCACCTAGGGCCCACATCCCTCTCACACACCCTAGGGGATGCTGCTGACCCCTGGGTTTCATTTTACCCCACTGCTCCAGGGGCCAGGTTGGCAAAGCAGAAATAAGTGAGTACTGACCCCAGCACCCCCACATCCAGATGGCAGAGACCAGCCTTCCCTCTTCCCAATGAAACAGCACAAGAGACATCAGAGAGAAAGTGCTTTATCTGCTGGCTGTTAGCAGGCTCAGCTCCTCAGTCGCACGCGCCAGGAGTAGGTGGTGAGCACACGCTGGTGCCGGCGCACCACACACGTGTAGGTGCCTTCGTTGACTGCGTTGGCAATGATGCTCAGCTGTGCCTCGCCCAGGGCCAGGTAGCCGGGGTAGGAGAACTCCAGGGGCTCCTGGTCCTTGTACCAGCTGCAGGGGGAGATTCCTGCATCCCTACCCATGCCAAGGGCCCCAGGATATACCCACAGGGGCACCCCAGGCAGCCCCAAGCCCCTCTGGACATGCCTGCCCAGTGCTGTTCACTCACTATACTTTGCCCTTCTTGCGTAGGATCTTCTGCCCGCAGTGGAAGGTCATGTTCCTGCCTTCTTTGACCAATCTCGTTTTCATTCTGGTGGGTGGTGTGGTGGCGGCCACAGTGGGGAATGGGAATTCTGCTCAGAGAATGGTGAAATGCCACGTCAGTTTAACCCCATCAAACCAGGCTCACGAGAACTCCCGCCCAACCCCATCTGAGCCTCCGTCACCATAGCAGAAGTCACAGCTTCTGGGGCAGAGCCTCTTCATGAGCCTCTGATGGGTATCGCAGAATCCCTTTCGTGCCCAGGATGTACACCCAAAGAGCCGGTCCAGGCAGCCTAACAGGAGAGCAAGGCAGCATGGCTCAGAGCTTGCCTAGAGCCCTCCCATCCATCTGACACCCACCTGCCCCAAGGCACCCACCGTAGAGTCGGTGTAATCCCCACAGCTCATCCTGGGACAGTGCCTTCCAGCCCCTCAAGGTGGCGTTGATGTGCATGAGCGCCTGCTCTTGCTGTGAGTGCATCAGTCCCAGCGCATGGCCAATCTCGTGCGCCGCCACATGCACCAGGTCTGTGAGCCATACGCCTGTGGGCCCCATGGTTAGTGCTTGGGAGCCCTCAGCCCTTCCGCTCCCAGTCTTGCTCTTGGAGGCCCAGCGCTGATGGGGAAGCCCAGCTGCAAGTCACCCTTAGCCCAAAGCCAAGGAAGATAAGTTTGTTCCCGGCCTAGGCTGTGAGCTTGGCCCTCAGGAATGCAGCTCCAGCTCCCTCTCCAGCGGCTTGGGGGAGGGGATGGAGGGGGGGGGGGAGGAGACAGGCCTATGAGAACCAGAATTCCTCTCAAATATTCAGCCCCAGGAAATCCTTCCTACCCCAAAGCCCTCTGTAGCCTACATGGTGAAGAGATTGGGGCCCCAGGAAGAGGCCAGACCAAGGAGTTGGATCACCTTTCTTCCAGCTGTAGCGCGTGGGGCCCAAGACCCAGTACTCGCTGTCATCAAAGTGGATGCCCCCGTGGGGTGGGAAGAAAGCGTGGGCCAGTTCACCTGTGGGGCCATCAAAGCAGTGGTGTAGGGCAGAGACCAAGCAGTCGGTGTGGTTGACCGGGTAGAAACCTAGGAAGATACGGCTGCGGTCACACCTGTGGGGACCGGGGGCGGGGCAGGAGCGCTTCAGTCACCCGCCCACCTATCTGGAGGTCGCTGGGATGCTCGGGGGCCACTTCACGGAAGCGGAACGGGGAAACTTCACTCCACATGCGAAAGGCGGCAGCCAGGCCCTTCCTGGTCTCCTCCGGGTTTAAAAGGTTCCGGGGAAAGGAGAGAATCCTGGGGGTGGGGTATTGAGAGTTAGTGTAGGAGACAGTGTCTGCGGTACGGCCTGACCACCCGCCCGCCTTCCCGGGGTGACACCTGTAGGTGAGGTTGAAGTGGTTCCAGCGCAGCCTGGCCGGTGTTAGCGTGTACCGGCGTCTTCGGGGTACCGGTATGGTCAACGAGCTGGGGACCTGGACGGTGGAGACCCCTGAAGGGTCTGGTGCGTCTACATTTCTCTTCACGGGAAAAAAAGTGGATTTGAGGAGGCAGGAGAAAGAGTCTGTGGTTCCCAAAATAGTTGCTGAGAGCTAGCTTGTTAGGCAATGGAGTGGGGGAAATTGCGAATGAACCCTCGGGGTTTTTCGCTTTCCCACACTTAATGAGTTGCTTTTACTCCCCACCCTGGTGCAGGAAGCTTTGAGAGAGGAGAGTTCAAGGCCAGCCTAGTCTACGGAACGAGTTCCAGGACAGCCAAGGCTACACAGAGAAACCCTGTCTCCAAAAGAAAAAGAAAAAAAAGGGGAGAGGGGGTAGTTGCTCAGAGCTACACGAGGCAGGCTTGGTGGCGCGTGCCTTTAATCTCTGGAGGTGGAGGTGGTCTACAGAGGCCAGCCTGGCCTACAGAGCGAGTTCCACAAGTAAATCTACACTAAGAAACCCTGTCTCAAATAAATAAATAAATAGCCAGTGAGAGTGAGCAGAGCTGGAGACGGACGCTGCCTCCCACCAGCGACCCCTGGACACACTGATTGAGGATGCCTGGAACTAAGGACTCACACGCAGGCCCACACGCCCCCTTACAGATGGGCCCACTGATTGACAGACCCTCAGATGCGAACCAGCTCACCGCTGCACTCCAGGCGGTCTCTGCCGGCGCCCGTGGCCACTCCAGCAACACCAGCGCGGAGAGAAAGCACAACCCGCTCAGGACAGCCCCGAACCAGCGGCCCTGTTGTACAGCACCCGATACCTCCAGATGGACGCAGGCTGGGCAGCCCATGGCACACTTGCTGTCGGATCAGGGCCTCAAGGGGCAGCGCGACGCAGGGACTTGGGCCGCAGAGTTGGGGCGGAGTGGGAGGGGGGTTGGCGACGAGCGGCTCGAGTTACAGCCCTCGTGAGGCGAGGACCCGGCGCTGGCCTGTGAAGTGAAACAGCTGGCCCGTCCGGAACGATCCTCATCTCTTAGGGGGTTCCTGGAACCAGGTCTTAGGGTCGGTGACAGTGGCCTGAACGCCCGCCCGAATGATGGGGGATGTCTATCAGAACGGGAGAAACGGCTAGGAACAAGTAAGGCGCCAGGGCTCATTTTTGGGGAAGGGGCATCAATTGCTCCCCATGCCCACCTGGTTGGGGCTGAATGACTTTTTGGCTTTACCCCCTCACAATGAGTCCGCGAGGGAAATCTCGGTTTTGGTCCCCGCAGTGACTGAGTGGAACCAGGACACAGAGAGGGGAGTGCAGAGGCAGGGGACGTGGCAGTGAGAATATGGTGATTGAGCGGGGCCGACGGGAGAGACTGCAGTAGAGAAGGGGCCTCAGGAAAGACAGGGCGTAGGAGGTCTGTGGGGGTCCTTAGGACATCTGGGAAAGGATCTACTTGGAGCAGAAGGTGCTCTTGGATCAGAGCGGGAGGTCTGGGGAGAGTGCCAGGACCTGGAATTTCTGCTCAGGCTTAGAGGGGAGGGGGTTACAGAAACAAAATAAGGCACTGAGTGTGGTGGCCTGGTAGAGTTCTGGCTTGCGGGGGGGGGGGGGGGGGTGGTGGTGGTGGTAGAAGGTTAGGAACGATGGTCCGAGCCCTGAAGGGTAGACCTGGCAGCCGGTGGCTGTACTGGGTGTGTGCCCAATGAGCATGGCATGGTAACTCAAGTGATGCCAGGCCCAGCTAAGATCTCCAGGGCGGAGCAGACTGGGTGGGTGAGACACGGAGAGCAGGGGGTAAGAGCAGGGGGTAAGAGCCCGGCTGAGGAAGGAGGGGCTCCCAGCCAGACGCCTTGTCCCTCCCAGTCTTCCATGCCGGCTTTGGACCCTGGGTGACAGCAACAAATGTACTGGCCAGCAGAGTCAGCGCCAAGCTGCCCGGAATAGCTGTGCTGGAAGTTCTTGAAAAGCGTTAGCCATCTGCCCTCCTTTCATTACTAAGTATTTGTTCCAACAAGTGGACCCTTTCTTGCGTCTTCCCTCTGCCCCTGATCAACTGCCAAGAGCCTGGCGGCCTCCTGCCCTCTCACTCCTGAGCCAGGACCCTCTGAAAGGGGAGACTGCTTTGGCCAAAATCCAAATAGTCTAAGTTCCGCCCGGGGGGGGGGGGGGGGCGGAGGCAAGTACGGTGGGCCCCCATGGGGGCGAAAATAGGGCCACCCCTAAGCCTTTTGGAGCACCGTGTGGGTTCCGGGACTCTCTTGTGTCAAACCACAGCCAGATCACTCTAAGTGGCCTGTACGACAACCAGTGAGTGTTCCTGACCTACAGGCAGCCTGGGGCTTCGTGCGCTGTATGTGTTTTGGGGGTGAGGAGAGTTTGCTGGGAATGGTGAGGATCGCTGGGGCCTGCCCAGCATCGCTAGGCAAGGAGCAGGCAGCAAAGTCCGAGAATCTTTTTATAAAATACACGTGTTTTGTTGAAGGGTCTGGGATCCGCCACGGTGTGCTGAATGCACTCACACGAAGATCTGAATGCGGTCGCGGATGGGCTGGCGGCAGATGGGGCAGGCGGTGAGAGCAGCGCCACAGGGCGCGCATGCCCCGTGGCCGCATTGGAACACTAGGCGGATGTGGCTGTCGATGCAGATGGGGCAGGTGATGCGCTCCTCCATCTGCCGGTAGCGGCTCTGGAGCTCCTCCACCAGTTGCCGAGGAGGACCGGGTACCTGGATGGTGTTTACCACCTCTGAGCCATCTGTGGGGTGAGGTGAGTGGGCGTCAGCCACAGCAGGTGTGAAGATTGGGTTGGGGCGAGGAGGGTGTGCGTGCGCCAAGCCCCGCCCACACACCTGGACGCAGCTTCTTGCTGATGGCCACCTGGCACCTGATGCACTTCTTCATCCTCCTAGCGCACTCTGCCAGCAGGGGCAGCGGACCGTTAGTGGGGCCGGGCCGGACGAGGCGGCCGGGCCACCCTGGGCCTCCACAACCTGCACTCACCCTCACACACGGTGCGATGCTGACACGGCGAGAACAGAACCAGCAGTGCCAGCTCCGAGCACACCAAGCACTCGGCAGCTTCTGGCCCTGCCGTGCCAGACACATGCAGGTTCGTCACGGTGTTAGGGGTGCTCAGCACGTGCCGGGGGCCCGGGGGCACACTCCCACCGCCACCTGCCTGTCGCTCCCTGCAGTTGGAGGAGGGGGCTTGAAAGGACCCGGTGGCCTTAGCAGTGCCCCCCCTCCACACCCCCATTTTGGGCTCACCGGAAGCGCTGGGCACAGCCCTGCAAAGCCTTGAGCACTCGGCCTTCCGTGGCCAGGTCCAGTGGGCTCCTGCCACGGTGGTTTGCGTAGCTCACGTCAGCACCCTCCAGTGCCAAGAAGCAGGCCACTGCCGCGCCTACGGTCAACTCTGTGCTGCCTGGGAGGCCTGAGGCCTGTAGCTGAGCAGCAGAACGTACAGATAAGGGCGGACACCCACGCGGACTTGAGGAAAGCCTCTGCTGGCCCCAGGCTGACCCAGAAATCTGAACAATGGGGCACGCACACACCCCTTCTAGGCTAAGGCTTCTGGTTCTAGGAAGAGGGGAGAAGACAGGCCCCAAAGGTACCCTTCGCTAGGTAGATGTAGAAACTCTGAGACCCTTCATCCTCTCGTCCCAACCAGACCCCAACCCTTTTCCAATTGGCCTAGATTACAGATCCTGAAACTGAAGTCCTCCAAACTGCCCCACTGTCCAGAAATCGTGGTTCCCTATAGCACAGTGGGAAGTGGAAAATCACCCAGGCCCTCCTTCCCAGCCCCTCACCCTCGACAGCAGCTGCAAGGGCCCTGGGTCCCCCCCAGCCCTGTCAGACACCAAGGGCAACAGCTGGTGCCGCTGCAGGGCGATGTGCAGGGCTGTGTCTCCCTCCTCATCCTCAGTGTTGACGCTGCAGCCGGCATCCACCAGCAGTGGAACCAGCCCCACGTGGGCCTGCTGCACAGCCAGATGCAGCGGAGACTGAAGCTTCCGGTTGCGCACGTTCACATCGCAACGGCCCTGGGGAAAGGGGGTGAGGCAGGGCTCAGTTTCCAGACCCCGCCGGGTCTGGTTCCTAGCCTGTGGGTGGCCCAGGGCCCCCTGCACCCACCTCTCGGATTAGGACCTGGGCCACCTCACGGTGGTCATTGAGAGCTGCCAGGTGCAGTGCGGTGAAGCCATCCTCCTTCTTGGCATCCACCAGCTGCCGTGCCCGTGCCAGAATCTTTCTGACTGCCCTGTAGGAACAAGGAGGTCGGTCCGTCCAAGGTCTTCTGCAGACCTGAGTGCCCTCAGTCGGGATAGCCTGGCACACTCACAGCACATGGCCCTTGAGGGACGCATGGTGCAGCAATGTAAAGCCCTGGCTATTGGTAGCAGTGACATCGATACCAGGCACCTCGGTGAGGACTTCAACAATGCTGCTGGCACCGGCACCTGCAGAGATGGCAGAATGCAGGGGCGTGTCCGCGTGGGCATCCTGAAACAGACGGTGCTGGTCACACACAGGGTGCCTTTGTCCAAGGTCAAGTTGCTTCCTTGACCTAGGGCTGGTTAGCGGCAGAGCGTCCAGGGACTCTCACTCACCGGCAAGTTGACATCACAACCACGCTCACACAAGGTCTTTACCACCTCTAGGAAGCCCCTCTGCACAGCCACATGCAGGGCTGTACTGCGTGTGCCATTTCGAGCATCAACCCCACATCCTGCACTCAGGAGCACCCTTGTGGCCTCAGGCTGGTTCCTACGTGAAGAAATGGGAGGATTTGGGGTCACCCTGTTACGCGCACACTGGCTTTAAGGTTCATTCCCAAGAGGACCCACCCACCAGCCTGCCCAGGCCTCACCCCAGAGCTGCGTAGTGGAGCGCAGTGTTGCCCTCATCGTCCGGCAGGTCCACACTAGCCCTTGCCTGCAGCAGCAGCTGCACCAGCTCTACCTGGCCCAGGTAAGCAGCCACCTGGAGGGCGGTCCTGCCCTGGTTCTTGGTGTCCACCTGTGCGGAGAGCCAACACATGAATTCTAGGCCCTGTCCCCGCTGGCTCTTGGAAGGGCTGGGCGGAAGCTTGCCTGCTCCGGGTGCCTCCGCAGTAGATCCAGAGCCCGGGCTACATTTCCCAGTGCAGCCTCTACTACCAGCCTCCCTGGATGCTCTGGGTCACTCTTCTGGGTCCGGAGCTTGTCCAGGGCCACACTCAGTGAGCCTGGGGGCAGGGTTGAGGTAAGTGCCGGCCAGGGGCTGCCCTTCCTCCCACCGGCCACTGAGGCTGATGCCGCACTTCTGTTCTCTCTGGCACGCTCAGCCACGTCCAAGTTGGCGTCTTCCTCGGGCCGGTAGGCCACTAGGCAGGAGGGGCTAAAGGTCCACCGTTGACCGCCGACTGCCACACGCAAGTTTCCGTCTCCAAACACCTTCAGCACTTTCCCCACACGGCCCAGGGCCTGGGGAGAGGTGGGGTCACAACAGGTTGGAAGTGGAGCAGACAGCAGCTGGGGGTGGGGACAGACATGGTGACAGCAGACGGTAAGACTCACAGGAGCCATGTCATCCGTCCATTCGCCATGTCCAGCCTGGAGTCGCTTCACAGTGTCAAGGTCATCGATGACCCGGACCACATCACCCACCCAGAAGCTGTTGTGCTAGATGACAGAGAAGCAGGTAAGGGGAGTCCTCCAGCTACTTCTCTCTACTCAGGATCATGCACAAGGGCTCCTCCTGCTTTGGAGGGCAAGCAGATCTAACCTTGACCCCAATTCCTGCCTCAAGTACAACCAAATGGCCTGGCTGGTCAAGGGCCTCAAGTGACCAAATCAGCCCTGGGTGGCCAGCCTGAGCCACAGGGCAGTGGGGTAGCAGCAGACCAGACCAAAGCCAGCTCTAGAGATCTGTGAAGGCCTAGACCTGTTTCCGGGGCACGTACCCACTGGTCAGACCCAGGAAAAACCTTGAAGATGGAGCTGGGTGAGACCCTAGGGTGTCAGCACAGGGCCAGGAGGGAGAGTAGGGCCTGTTATGGGGAGGGGGGTCCTGCAGGGAATCTATGCCTACGACCTATGCACTTGTGTGCAGAGCGAAAGCCTGAACGTTGCCTGTCCTGAAGAATCCTCCTCTGCCCCACTCTGTCCCTGCTTGGACAGCCCCACTTATCTGGCACACATTCCATCCCACAGTCCAGTTTTCCAAACAGCTTTCACAGAATCTGCCCAAGCTGGTCTCCTGTGGCAAACCTCCACCTCTAGCCTACAACAGCACCTTCCTTTTGTTCTCAGGACAGAGCCCCTGGCCCACAGGCTCTAGTCTAAAATGTTGTCTATACTTCATTCTTCTGTGTGCTTCACACTGGATTCCCTTCCTGGCTTCACCTCCACCCACCAGGCTCTCCCCTTCCCGCAGGTTGCAGTCTTTAACGGGAAGGCTGGTGCCCTCGTCCTGACTAAGCATTCCCAAGACTGAACCGGTACATGGAAGGAATTAGAGAAGCAGTAAGTGGGGCTCAGCCCAGCCCCCTAGGCACCTTGGTGAGAGCCCCAGGGTGGAAGGTCCAGCGGGTCTCGTGGTTGAACTGCACACGCACGTCCCCACGGTCTGTGATGCGGTGCACGGTGCCCATCTGTCCGATAAACTGTGGCGGGTCACGGAGGCTATGGCTGGGTCAGGCTGGACTCTCGGGGCAGGAAGAGGGATAGGGGTCCAAAGGACTCGGGGAGGAGGGGACATGGGGACTCAGCAGAAGAGATGGCTCACCTCCGCCATCCTAGGGTTCCAGCCACCGTGGCCTTCTTGCATGTCCCTTAGGACGTCTGTGTCCAGCAGACACTTGACCTTGTCCCCACGCTGGAAGGGCTGGCCATCGACACTCACCCTGCGCTGAAGCTCTGCTGGTTTGCCTGGGGGAGGGTGGCAGGCTAGGTCTCAGGAAGCAACCTGCCCCCGCCCGTCAGGACAGGCCAGGGTAATATGGGTACAGCCGGGGCAGGAGGGCAGCTGGTGTCATGGCCCCAGCCCCATACCGAGCTTCGGGAGGTGCTCCTTGTAGTAAAAGCCGCCAGCCGCCTCCCCAACACACTTGAGGTCCACCTTGCCCTTGTGGCCCACGCGGTACACGTTGGTGGTTCCATCTGCCCACGTCACGCTAGCCACACTTCGGCCTGTCTCCACATCCCAGCCACGGATGTCCACCACGCGGCCTGTCTTCCCTTCCCCACCTGGGAAGACAGGATGTACACCAGCAGGCAAAAGAGCCTCAAGGCTAAGCCATCCCCAGTCTCTCCTCCCTGTCTTTCTCTGGCCAACACTCACCATCTTGGGAGCCCCATTCCCAGTCAGGGCCTCGGACCACTTTTGCTCCCTGAAAGATGCCCCTCAGTGGAATTCGAGGGAGGCCCTGTCGGGGACTCAGTGAGACCCTGCAAGAGAATGAATCCTGAGCCGTGCAGAGCAATATGACGGCCAGTTCTTGCACTGGTCACCCTGTCCTTCTATCCTAAAGGGTCTGTAGAACAGGTACTCTGGATTCCGGCCAAACTGCTGTCCTCGAATGGCCTTCCCAGGCAGCCTCCACACTTTGGGAAAGGGAACAAGCTATTCAGTGTTTCTGGGTTCAGACGCCTTCACCAGTACCAGGCAGGGACTCTCGGAGCAGTCTATGTGATCATGATGTCCATGTCTGCTGCTTTTAAGGTAGCAGGGGCAGGGCCCGGCCCAGAGGAATGAAAACACTTATCTGGTCACCAGCACAGACAGCAGCCGCCCTGACCTCCTGCTGGCCAGAAGAGGGAACCTCTACTACACTTCTCTCCACACAGAGGAAAGGTCAAGAGATCAGAGAATAAAGGATGGGAGTGAATTCCCAAGTCCTCCATCGTTATCTCTCTGCCTCGGGCCAGGGCCACTCCCGGCTGTGCCCATGGGTGGGCACCCAGGGTGAGCTGCCCAGTGACAAGCCTCCTTGCCAGGCCTGGCCCCATCAGGGGATGCTGTATGTTTCAACAGCCACTGCTATTTATGTGGGTAACACAGAGGCCACCTTCAGTGCTCCAGGCTGCAGCTGCACTGGAGTCTGCCTGCCTGGCTTTAAGAGCGAGGTATGGGGAAGCCCCATCCACAGCACCCACTTCACCATGTGCCTGGAGAAAGCCCTCAGTGAGGAATGGAGGCGTGTGATTCTCAGAGCTGGAGAATCACTTGACCCTGGCTATTCTCCCAGGAAACTGCAGGGTGAGCTCGCCAGGTACTTTTTGGAATTAACTCGGCCAGAGGTCAGGGCCTGGCTCAATGTCAAAAGCACCACTCAGAAGGCCTCAGGGAGGTGGGCTGTGGCCTGGGGGACTCACGGGCGTGAGTGGGATGTCTCGTAGCGCTCGAAGGCATGGGTGAGGTCGTGTTTGTTGTGCATGTAGCACTGCGTACAGAGGTCATAGTCAAAGCAGACACGGCACTTCCAACGCATGCCGCGAAGCCCGTGTTTCTTGCAGCAGTCACAGATGATGTTGGGGTGACGGATACCTAGGTGTAGGGTGGGGTACGTGAGGACCTGCTGGGTCTCCAGTCACCCGGCCAGCCCCACCCACAGCTGGGCATCACCACACACCGATCTGGGCGTTGTCATAGAGCAGCAGGTCATGGGCACCTTGGTAGCCAGCTCGATAGTTGGTACGTGTGCCCTGGTCCCACTGGACAACAACTGTACGGTCGGGGGTCGAGGGGCTGCCATGGCGGCCAAGCTCCACCACGGTGCCCACACCGCCCTCACCGCCATCCTGCTGGCCCCACTTCCAGTCTGTTCCGCGTACCACACGCATGCCCACCTGCACACCTGCGTGGGGATCCAGGTCCATGGTGAGTGGGGCTGTTCAGGAACCTGTAACAGAGAGCACGCTCAGTCTGTGTCAAAATGTCATACACCAGGCTGATCACAGGACACATGTTGAGACGGCCACCTGGGGGAGAAGGATGATGGATCAGGAGTAGAGAAGACAAAGCCAAAAGAACAAAGAAGAAAGGGCAAGGGAGGGCAGGCTGGGAAAGCCAGGAAGTCCGTAGGAAATGCGGGAACCCCCACCACGGTGACTCTATGGGAGTCACACTGCCTGAAAGGAAGGAACAGAAGTTGGGAACATTGTAAGTGGACAGGCACAAATGGTCAGAGACTGAACCTGGCACTGTGGCCACAGTTAGTGGATCTGTTCCCAAAAGTCTGCATGATGCTCCATCAGCATAAGTAACTTTAAAGTAGAGGTGGACCGGTGTACACTTTAACATCAGCACTCAGGAGGCAGAGGCAGGCGGATCTCTGTGAGTTAAGACCAGCCTGGTCTACACAGTGAGTTAAGGCTACATAGGGAGAGCCCGTCTACAAAGATAAAATTAACTACCAGGCATGGTGGCACACACCTTTAATTCCAGAAGCAGAGGCAGTGAATCCCTATGAGTTTCAAGGCTAGCCTAGCCTACACAGCAAGTTCCAGGACAGTCAGGGCTACACAGAGAAACCCTGTCTCAAAAATTGTGTAATTAATTAATTAAAAATAAACCTAATAAACCAGACGGTGGTGGCACACAACTTTAATCCCAGTCCTTGGGAGGCAGATGCAGGTGGATCTCGGTGAGTTCGAGGACCAGCCTGGTTTACAAAGTGAGTTCCAGGACAGAGAAACCCTGTATCAAAAAATCAAAATAAATAGACTGGAGAAATGGCTCAGAGGCTGGGAACACTGGTTGCAGTTTCAGAGGTCCTGAGTTCAATTCCCAGTACCCACATGGTGGCTCACAACCATCTAAAATAAGATCTGGTGCCTCTTCTGGCCTGCAGGCACACATGCAGGCAGAACACTGTACACATAATAAATAAGTAAATCTTTAAAATAAAAAAAAGAAGCAAAGACAATTTTTCTGTGCAGCTCAGTGATATGTGGGACTAAATTAGAGAACTGTTGATTCAACAAGATACCATGAAGCAACTGGGGAGATAACCACGTGAGAGAAGATGCTTGCAGTGTTCACAATCCACAGAGAACTACCTCAAGTGTATATGAAAATGCCGGACAAGCTGGGAATGGGCAAGACAAGATTCTCTGCTCAAAGGAGAGGGCAGTAAAGTCATGTAACATCTTAGGGACCTTCTCTGGTCCAGTGGTGGTGGTGCCTTTAATCCCAGCACTCGGGGGGCAGAGGCAGGCGGATCTCTGTGAGTTTGAGACCAGCCTGGTCTACAAGAGCTAGTTCCAGGCCAGCCTGGTCTACAAGAGCTAGTTCCAGGACAGGCTTAAGCCACACAGAGAAGCCCTGTCTAGAAAACCAAAAAAACAACAAAAAACAAAACAAAAAAAAGAAAGAGAAAATAATAAATAATAAAAAAATAAATAATAATAAATAATAAATAAATAGGATGAGAAATGACAGCGTCATAGTGCAGGCGTCCTTGTCATTTCTCATCCTATTTAAGCACAGGCCCTGAAGCAGAGGACCTGCTTAAATAGACACCAGCAGGCCTGGTCCAGGATTCACCTGGTTGGGTGCAGCTGAAGACTATGACAGCGTCCTGTCAACTACAGCTGGGGGTTAATGGCCATGCTCAGTCATGGGACAAAGGTCAGATTGTTAAGTTAGCAACAGGAGGAAGACAGCACACATCAGCCCTCTGCCTGGGCCCTCCTCCAGGATTCCTGTCTTTCCCCAGACTGACAGCCTCTGGCCTGTGCAGTTCAAGAAGCATTCTCCACTCCCCACCATGAAGCCACAGATGAGCAGTAAGGAAGATCAGCAGCCCTGCCTGGCCACATACACCAGCTGAAGGCTGGGTATCTGCTGGTAGTGGCCTGCACACCACAGGCTGTTCCAGAACCAAGCACAGGAAAAATTCCAACATCACTCAGAACTCATGTTGTGCACGGGGCAATACCACACACAGACTCTGGGTCCACATCTCACCGTATTCTCAGGAGCACGAGTTTCCCGGCCAGCACAGCCTTGTGCAGATTTTTTAAGATTCTATTATTTTATGTGTGTGAGTATTTTGCTGCATTTATCTACACCACATGGGTGCAGTGCCAGGAGAGGCCAAAAGAGGGCGTGAGAGCCCTTGTGACTGGAGTTACAGTGACTGAGAGACATCATGTGGATTCTAGGGATTGAGTCTGGGGATCTTCTGAAAGGGCAGGCAGCATTCCTAACCACTGTGTCAGCTCCAGGTCCCTTCTGCAATTCTTATGCCTGCACACAGGTCCAGGACTGCGGGGACCACAGCAAAAGCAAACAGGTAGTTCATGAAGACACTATGAAGAGCCTTCCCACACAGCTGGGCTCTGTGCTTCAGGGGACCCCCCTCATCCTTCCAGGGACCTTGTCTGTCTTCTCTTTAGCTCACTCCTCTCCATGGACTCCAGAGTGCCTGCTAAGATGTGGCAAGAGGGCCTGATGCCAGGGTAAATCCTTCTTCCTCTTTCTACAGGAGGGACAACCCATAAAGAGACCTCTTGGTGAGAATGTTCAAAAGTGGCGCTAATGAACCCCAGACTGGGGGGGGGGGGGGGGATCTGTGGTCAGCTAGCCATGGCAGCTGGCTCTGTTCCTCTATGGTCTGTATAGCTCACCTCCTGCAGTCTCAGGAGTCTGACACAAGGGGACCCAGAGCCCCCCTCAATTCTACACAACTCCCTTTGATCAGGCACTTTAGTCCCAAGTCTTGGGGGGCAGCCACCAAGTCCTTTCACTGCCACACGGTTAGTCTGACTAACCATGTCTAGTTAGACCCAGCCTTGCCAGAATCAGCAATGACTGAATAGTTAGGATGGGTGAGACACAAAAAAGTAGGGAGATTAGGGAGCGCTGTGCTTGGCTCCTGTAATGACTACAAATTCTGTGGTTTTGATGGCCCAAATGGTTCAGGTCCCTTACACCCAAACACCTACTGGTGCCTCACCTTGAGTGGCACAGGTCCATTGGTTAACTCAACTCCACTGCCCCTCACAGCTGGGAAGACACTGAGAAGACTGCATTCCCGTTCCAACAAGAACACAGCTGTTTAGCCAGAGCAAGGCTTGCTATAAGAGAACCTTAGACTCTCAACAAAAGTAGGCAGACAGATTCAACTAGTAGCTTTGATAGTGGGGGAAACCCTGACAGCCATCCCCTGGACCTGGCCAGCACTGCAATAAAAGTAGAAAAGTAAAGCCAGGCATGGAGGTGCACACTTGTAATTCTTCCATTTGGGAGGCTGAGACAATAGGCTACCAAATACAAATCTGCTCAGGGCAACGTAGCAAGACCTTATCTCAAAAGAGCATGGGAAGAAGGAAAAAAGGAGGAAGAGGAAGTGAGAGAGGAAGAAGGAGGAGACAGTCACTCTAGAGCTGTGAGGCAGGCCTCTGTTTCTGAAACTGGCCTTTCAGCCACAGCTTTTCTACAGGATAATGGCTGGACTTGATACTGGACTTTTTACAGACATGGAGTAGGGTGGGCTTCAAACATGCCAACAAACATAACCCCTGTGTGGCCCTGCCTTCAGGAGAACAGGCAGAGGACATAGAGCTCAGGTGGAGGCTACCCATCAAGGTCTAAGAGCATCAGGGCCAGGCCTCAACCAATGACTCCACATGGAGTAGCAGGAATGCTACCAGGCATTCCCGACGGTCAGTGGTCTGCAGTGACCAACATCTACATCACCATCGCGCCTGGTTAAGCAAAGCTCTCCTCGTCCCTGGCCAGTGAACTTCTAGTCTCAAGAGCAGGCCAGCAAAGTCAGAACAGAACCAGATAGAACAGAGCAAGGGGCCGGGCGATGGTGGCGCACGCCTTTAATCCCAGCACTCGGGAGGCAGAGGCAGGCGGATCTCTGTGAGGTCGAGACCAGCCTGGTCTACAAGAACTAGTTCCAGGACAGGCTCCAAAGCCACAGAGAAACCCTGTCTCGAAAAACCAAAAAAAAAAAAAAGAACAGAGCAAGGGCTTTCTTCCCAGAACCACTACCTCAATGCCCAAGACTGCCCTGCAGGAGCAAAACTGTGGGCCATAGACAAGGGTCAAAACACGACTACTTTCACAGGCTTTCCGCTAACACTGGGCCATGTGAACACTAAGAGTGCCCAACACTGGTGGCACATGCAAATTGGAAGCCTATGTCCCCCCCCCCCCCCCACACACACTACCTGTACCCTGGAGGTCTTATGGTCTTTGCTTTGGAGGCTGCACTCTCCCCTCATCTTTCAAGGTATTATCTGACTGGGGTCTCCTTACCTGAGCTGGGTCTCTGGGAATGCCCCCTCAAACATAGTTATTGTACAATCAGACAGGAGACAGGGTTCCTGGACTTCAAAAACATCTGGATATAGCATTTTGTGAAACTGTTAGAAGACCCAGTGGTTTTCTCTCCCCTCTCCCTCCAGGCCTCCCTGCCTGGTCTCTACATTATCAGCAACCTACCATTCTCATCCTGTTCCTTAACCTGTGATGCCACTATCAGAACAGAAAAGGTTGCCAGGAGTACCTGGAGGGGTGGGTGGCTGACACAGAACAGAATAAGAGACAGAGACAAGATCTACACAGACCGTAGGAAGGTTTCCACTTTGGACTCGGCTCTTGTTTACATCCATCTAGGAGGCCTTCCTCTTTGGATGGCACAGGACCCTGACCACAGTGAAGGGGCCCTATCTACTTCATGATTAACAGAGAGTGGCGGGGACGAGTCAACTTCAGAATCCAATTTTCTGACAAAGGTCTCATCCCTTGAGCTTACTAGGCAACTGACCAAGTAAAGCCCAGGGCAGAGTCAAGAAGGAAGCTGGCCCGTAGCATCCTGGGTGCAGCACCAGGCCAGAGATGATGAAGCTACTGTTCCAAGCCTCTGGACAAGCCCACGAAGAGGCTGCACGCCTGAACAGTACCTTATGCTCACGCTAGCCATTCTGCAAACCTCAGGAGAATCTACACCCAGGGTCCCTGGAGAGAGAAGCCCCTGAAGAAAGGCAGGACTGGAGGCCTGTCTTTTTTTGTTTGTTTGTTTGTTTTTTGTTTTTTCGAGACAGGGTTTCTCTGTGGTTTTGGAGCCTGTCCTGGAACTAGCTCTTGTAGACCAGGCTGGTCTCGACCTCACAGAGATCCGCCTGCCTCTGCCTCCCGAGTGCTGGGATTAAAGGTGTGCGCCACCACCGCCCCGCTTTTTTTGGATTTTTGGAGACAGGGTTTCTCCATAGCTTTTGGTTCCTGTCCTGGAACTAGCTCTTGTAGACCAGGCTGGCCTTGAACACACAGAGATCCGCCTGCCTCTGCCTCCCGAGTGCTGGGATTAAAGGCATGCGCCACCACCGCCCGGCCTGGAGGCCTGTCTTGAAGAGGAACAGCCCCCTCTTCTGGGATCCATGCATCCTCCAGGGAACTTACTCCCACCGCCCCTTTCTTGACCTTCCCCTGCAGTGATAGCTAACCCTGGTGTCAACTTGATGACCCCTGGAAGTCACTGAAACCCAAGCAACTGGGCACACCTATGAGGGATTCCCTTAGTTAAATTGTTCGAAGTGGGAAGATCTATTTTTAATCTGGATCTTTGGAGCTTGGATGATCACCTTTACACAGCCATGCCTTCTGCTTTTGCTCTTGCCTCCCTGCTCTTGATATCAATTCACTTGTATTAGAGCCCACTTCTTCATGATTTCAACATATACTGAATACCAGCTGAGACATCCTGCCTCATGGAGAGAAGAACTACTGGATTCTTGGACTTTCTGTTAGGAGAAAATCATTGCTGGACAGCTAGAGCACAGCCTGTAAGCTACTATCCATCCGTCTGTCCGTCTCTCTCTCTCTATCTATCTATCTATCTATCCATCCATCTATCTACACATACACACACACACACACACATATATATATATTCCTCTTAAGAACCCTGACTGATACCCCTACCACAACCCTTCAACAACTACCATAAGCCAGTGCTTTCCCACTGAGGAAGAATCCTCTGCTCCCAAAGAGTGCAGGAGCCTTGCAGGAACCTTGGCCTTGTGTGTGGAAAGGACACAGGGTCTGAAAGCCTTATCTGTAGCTCCACTTAGTACAGCCCCAGAACAGTCGAAGAGCTGCAACCACTGAAGTCCAGGCATGCAAACAAACTTTTCTTTTAAATACACATTAAATATCACCAAACTCTGATAGACATCATTCTTCAGGATGCTGAAAACCCCAATGTGTTATGGGTACCACCATCTCAGTAGGAAATTTACCTAGAGTTAATGGACTGTTGCCTTTGCCAGAAATACTGGGCTTTGCCATCAGACATAGCCATGTCCCTGGCAAGTATCTAAACACCCCTAGAACTGTCGCGATGCATGTTTACAATTACAGTGGGGGGTGTCAGAGCATGAGGGTTTGGTTAACAAACATGCTTCCGCAGAACCAGAACTCACCTTAGAACACACAGAAGCCTCTGGTCAGCATCCCAGGCATTTAGTTGCTACTTCCTGGGCCACAAATTTTCTCAGCCACCACAACTTCCTGTGGAAAACTAGCAGCCATTGCCAACATGGAACACAGCAAACCGAGCAGGTAGGCAGGGAACCAGGCTGGGGAAAGACCATTTTAGAGGCAGATTTACACACGGTATTTACTGCCATGCTCAGACAGTGGCCATTGGGACTGCTGTTGCTACTATGTTCCATCTTTTAAGAAACACACTTTTCAAACAATGCATCCTCTTGTAAGGAGGGCCTGCTTGTTCGTCCCAGCCGCCCGGATAGCTTAGTCCCCAAATAACCATATAGAAACTGTGTTAATTAAAACACTGCTTGGCCCATTAGCTCTAGCCTCTTATTGGCTAGCTCTCACATCTTGATTAACCCATTTCTGTTCATCTTTGTATCACCATGTGCAATGGCATACCCGGAAAGACTCAGCATGTCTGACCCTGGCGGTTCCAGGGCGGCTCTCTCTCTTTCTTTTTCCCAGAATTTAGTTCTGTCTTCTCCACCTACTTAAGCTTCACCCTATCAACTAGGCCCAAGGCAGTTTTTTTAATTCATTATCCTATAAAAGCAACACACAAACAGAAAAAATTCCTACACCAGTATCCCTGACTCGCCTGGAACTCACTATGTAGTCCAGGCTGGCCTGGAATCCATTTCAAGTGCTAGAATTATAATCATGTATGTCCAGACAGAATTGAACATCCCTCAATAGGTCAGAAGTATCAGGACTGTGGGGCGGGGGACACTGTCCCTTATCACGTGACTATTTTACTGGAAATTCCCACACAGCCATAAAAAAAAATTAAATCATGGAGCTGGAGAAATGGCTCAGCGGTTAACAGTACTGACTGCTCTTCCAGAGGACCCGGGTTCAATTCCCAGCACCCACATGGCAGCTCACAACTATCTGTAACTTCCAGTTCCAGGGGATCTGACACCTTCACACCAATGCACATAAAATAAAGATAAATAAATCATTAAAAAAATTAAATCGTGTTTATTGTGAAAGTTAGCAAATTGCCTTTATTCGGATGAAGTTACATAGAGACCACTCAGGATTCAAGCCTATCTCCCTACGCCTCTGGTGGTGCCTGGGACACTGCTGGATTGAAAAATGCGTGCAAAAACTGGTGCGACAGAGGCTCCTACTGCGTACAGGTGGACATCCTAGGCGCCAGTAGGACAAAACAAAGACTGTCAGCCTAAGACACAGAGACCAGGAAACCGCATCTGCCCTGAGTCCAGACATCTGCTTGGGGACATCCATTACGGTTCAGGGGTATCATGGCTGCTAAACTCCAGGTACACTGCAGCTTGGGGTTCACCACGCTGCCTAGGGCCGACCTTGGCTGGGGGAATGACATTCAGATACTTGTTGCACAGAGCAACAGGCCAGAGAGGAATGTGAAGATAGGAAGCCTACTATGAGGAGCCAACCTTGCTCTGTCCCCAAGCCTGCTGGCTCATCAGGAGCCTTCCTGTCACCTCTGCTTTTCTCATTGGTTCTGAACCCAGAGGAGGCAGGAAGGACGATTCCTCACTGCCCAGTCCACTCAAGTACATTTAGACACAAACACAAGCGTTGACATAACATCAGATGGGCATCCGCAAGGAGAACGAACCAAACCCAAACTGTCAGGCCACCGTCATCAGGAGCTCACCTGTCTGGAGGTCCAGTGTCCCCCACCCGCCTTGAGAATCGGGCAGCCCTGATGCTTGGAGATTTAGGACTGGCCTCCTCCGGGCTGACCTTCCGTGAGAGCCCCCGGAGATCCAACCCTGTGGCCAGGGGTGCGCACAGTTAACACCCGAGAACAGAAAAGGCCGCCGCTCGCCTTAAAAAAGGTTCCCAGGGGTTCGGCGGCTGGGACCCGCTGCATCACCCCCACGCACCAAGAACGCGCACCGGGCACGAGCTGTGTCCAGGGGCTCGGAATCCAAAGCTTGCTGCAAGCAAGGGCCAAGGACGCCCGCCCAAACCACAGCCCGGTCAAGCGGATCCGACCCTCTCGGCCCCGTGCCACCCACCCCGGGCGCTGGGAGGACGCCCGACCCGGCCCCCCCACTTGCCCTGAGTTTCCGTGCCCGTCGGCCCTGGAACACCGGGCCCCGAGCAGCGCAGAGGCTGACAGCCGATCCTCGGCTCGCCACAGAGGCGCCAGCTGCACCGCGCCGTCCTCCGACCCTCAAGAGCGCCTGGCGGGGCTGCCTCTCCCGCGCCAGCCCACCCGGCTGCCCCACCACAGCCCCCGACTACGGTCCCCGGCCCGCCGCACAGGCTGTCGGGAGCTGTAGTTTGCGGCTCCCGGACTGGGGGCGGGGCAGACGGCTCCCAGGAGGCCCCGCGCGTGACGCAGAATGCTTCGGGCTGGGAGGCGGGGCAGACGGCTCCCGGGAGACCCTCGCGTGGCGCTGACGGCCGGGGCGTCTATGGCCGGTGGGAGTTATGCTTGGCTAAAGAAGAAATTGGAAAAGCCCGTGTCCCCGCAAATGGGGAGAGAACGGGGTCGGCGGGAGTGGGCACCGAGGAGGCCAGACGCGCTAAGTCGCGCCCGGAAGTGCGTCTGGGCGGAGCCCTAGTGACCCCGGTCTGCGCTGAACGTTTCCCAGGACGCTTTCCGTTGCCTTGGAGACAGAGCTTTAGTGTGACCAGCCAAGGGAGTAGGTCTCAGTCTCCATTTACTGGCAGGCAGCACCCAATTACAGGAAGAGTCATAAACTGATACCACCCAGGGACAGGCTAGCATCAAAGGGGAACTATCTGATATCCCAAATACCCCAACCGTTAGGTAAGACTAAGATCACCAGGTAGATGTCATTGAGCCCAGCACACACCTATGCACCTATTCCCTTACACCAAGACACTCCTAGACAAATGTCAGTCAGTCAGGGTCTTGAACCATGAACATCCCCTCACCTCTACCTTGCCCAGATTGGGCACTCTCCGTTCATATGACTGCGCTGGACACAAAGAGGGTCCAAGCGCGAGCTCTTTGCTTTTGCATACGGACTTGGACTCTTGGGGGTCTTTGGGGGACTCTGTGATCTAGGCATAACATCAGCCACTCTCTAGTTCGTTTATGTGGAGGGTTGGTTGGTAGGCTAGTTGATTTTTGAGATGGGTCTCACTAAATAGTCCTGGCTGGCCTGAAACTCATGTGTAGCCCAGGTTAACCTGCCTCCTCTGCCCCTTTAGCGCTAGGATTAAAGGTAAGCCTAACCCAACTGTTTTTATGCAGTGCCAGGTGAAATAGCACTGAGAAGGAAAGAGATAGGGAATGAAGAACTTGAGGCAATGCAAGGCAAAGGCAGGCAGATCTCTGTGAGTTCGAGGCCAGCCTGGGCTACTAGAGCTAGTTCCAGGTCAGGCTCTAATGCTACACAGAGAAACCCTGTCTCAAAAAAATAAACAAGCCGGGCGGTGGTGGCGCACGCCTTTAATCCCAGCACTCGGGAGGCAGAGGCAGGCGGATTTCTGTGAGTTCGAGACCAGCCTGGTCTACAAGAGCTAGTTCCAGGACAGGCTCCAAAACCACAGAGAAACCCTGACTCGAAAAACCAAAAAAAAAAAGAAAAGAAAAAGAAAAAAATAAATAAACAAAAAAGAAAGAGAGAGAGAGAAAAAAGAAAGGAAGAAAGAAAGAAAAGAAAAGATGAAAAGATTCAATTAATGGCTCAATTCGTTTCAAAGGTTCAGTCCATTATCATCATGGTGGGGAGCATGGCAGCATGCAGGCAGACATGATATTGGAGAGGTAGCTGAAAGTCCTGCCTCTAGATCAGAATACAACAGGAATTCGACTGAGACACTGGGTGGTATCCTGAGTATAGGAAACCGCAAGCCCTGCCCCCACAATGAGAGACACACTTCCTCCAATTATGCCAAACCCACTTCAACAAAGCCACATCTCCTAATCGTGTCACTTCCTGTGAGATTATGGGAGCCAATTACGTTAAATCTAACATGGTGTCTCAATGTAAGTCAGAGGACTGGACTGGAGGCTGAGAACAGGTGTGGCCACCACCTATGCCTACCAGTTGTGGACCAGCATTGCACCCCCATCATGACAAGATTGCCAAAATGTCACTCAGTGGAGGATCTTTCAAGGGACTGAAAGACCTTGGGAAATAAAGATTCCATGATGAAGTTGGGCTAGGTTTGTAGATGAATTATAAGGTGCTTGCCCAACTCACCTGAAGGCAGAACAAGTTCCAGGCAAATTAGAATTACAGGGTGAGATCTCAAAAAAGGGTGGTGGATGTTAGAAGGACAGAGAGGAGAGGAGAGAGAGGGAGAAAGAGAGAGAGAGAGAGAGAGAGAGAGAGAGATCTCAGCAGGTACCAATTTGCTGGTGCCTTTGGCTTCAACTCACTAGACTTCCTAAACAGGAAAAAGTATTTGGGTGGGAGGCTGGAGAAATGACTCAGCTGTTAAGAGTACTAGGGGAAATCTCACAATGGTGGTGCACGCCTTTAATCCCAGCACTTGGGAGGCAGAGACAGGCAGATCTCTGTGAGTTCGAGGCCAGCCTGGTCTACAAGAGCCAGTTTCAGGACAGGTTTGCAGGTTTGGTTCCCAGGACCCACATGGGAGCTAGCACTCATCTATAACTCAGGGGATCCCGTATCCTCTCTTGACCTCTCTGGGCACAGCACACATGTGGTGCACAGATATGCGTGCAGGCAAAACCATCCACACATAGAATAAACAGGAAAATATTTTATTTACAAACTACTGATTCTAGGATAACTATAGAATAAAAATGAAAATATTTATTTTATTTACAAACTACACATTCTAGGATAACTTGTTGCTGGGTATGGTGATGCATGCCTGATATTCCAACATTCAGGAGGCTGAGGCAGGAGGATCACCTGGAGTTCAAGGGCAGCCTAGGCTATACAGCTAGCTCGGGACAGTGAAAATTATATAGAGAAACCTTGTCTAATAACAAAAAACAAAATGCAGACTCCTTCTTCTCCGAAAGGTATTTGGTCACATCAGCTCAAATGGAGTAAGGCAGTTATCTAAAAGACATTAATTCACTGTTACAAAAACATACTAGTGGCTCCAGAGACTTTAGGTGAAGAATAATTGCTTAATAGGTGATGGGTTTCCTTTTGATGTATTGAAAATGTTTTGTAGATATGGGGTTTGTGCAACTTTGAAAATGGAGTAAATGCTAATGAACTGTACTGTTAAGATGGGTAATTAATTTTTTTTCTAGACAGGATGGTCTTCTGTACCCCAGGCTAGGCTCAAACTCTCTATGTAACTGAGGATTGAACTCCTTCCACCTCCCAAGTTCTGGGATCACGGGAACACACACCTTGCCTGGTTTATGCAGTGCTGGGGAACCAAACCCAGGGCTTCATGCATGATAGAAGACTACTGGACCCACTGAGCTCCATCCCTAGTTCCAGAAAAGATTTAATTTATTTTTCATTATGAATAGGTCTGTGAATTATGAATGTCTGTGTGTATGTGCACACATGTGCACATACCTGTAGAAAACAGGTGTCTGAGCCCCCGAAGCTGGGGTTACAGGTGGTTGTGAACTGACTGAACTCAGGTTCTCTGTGACAGCAGTAAGTGGTCTTAACCACCATACTATCTCTTTAGCCCCGAAAATGGCTAATTTTATGTTTGCAATTTTTTTTCTTTTTTTCCATGATATTTATTGAGCTCTACATTTTTCTCTGCTCTCCTCCCTGCCTCTCACCTCCCCCCTTCAGCCCTCCCCCAAGGTCCCCATGCTTCCAATTTACTCAGGAGATCTTGTCTTTTTACACTTTCTACTTCCCGTGTAGATTATATCTATGTGAGTCTTTCTTTTTTTTCTTTCTTTTTTCTTTTTGTTTTTTTCTAGACAGGGTTTCTCTGTGGCTTTGGAGACTAGACTGCCCTGGAACTAGCTCTGTAGACCAGGCTGGTCTCAAACTCACAGAGATCCACCTGCTGGGATTAAAGGCGTGCGCCACTATCGCCCGGCCTTATGTGAGTCTTTCTTAGTGTCCGTATTGTTGTCTAAGTTCTCCAGTGTCTAAGTTCTCTGTGGTTTGTAGGCTGGCTTTCTTTGCTTTATGTTTTAAAACCACCTATGACTGAGTACATATGATAGTTGTCTTTCTGTGTCTGGGTTACCTCACTCAAAATAATGTTTTCTAGTTCCATCCATTTTCCTGCAAAATTCAAGCTGTCGTTATTTTTTTTTGCTGTGTAGTACTCCATTGTGTAAATGTATCATATTTTTAAAAAAGATTTATTATGTATACAGTTTTCCCTGCATGTATGCTGCAGGCCAGAAGAGGGCACCAGATCTCATTACAGATGGTTGTGAACCACCATATGATTGCTGGGAATTGAACTCAGAACCTCTGGAAGAACAGTCAGTACTCTTAACCTCTAAGCCATCTCTCCAGCCCTGTATCACATTTTTTTTAATCCATTCTTTGATCAAGGGGCATTTAGGTTGCTTCCAGGTTCTGGCTGTGACAAACAAAGCTGCTATGAACATAGTTGAGCAAAGGTCCTTGTGGCATGATTGAGCATCCTTTGGATATATACCCAAGAGTGGTATTGCTGGGTCTTGAGGAAGGTTGTTTCCTAATTTTCTGAGAAATCGACACCCTGACATTCAAAGGGGCTGTACCAGCTTGCATTCCCACCAGCAATGCAGAAGTGTTCCCTTTTCCCCACAACCTCTCCAGCATAAGTTGTCATCAGTGTTTTTGATCTTGGCCATTCTTACAGGTGTAAGATGGAATCTCAGAGTTGTT